AATTCTCATAAACCTTTGACATTGGCAAAAAGAGTGTGGATTCTAAAAGTAGACATCTTGGGGCTATCTATACATGTGCTTATTTCGGTATCGATACTTTATGAAAAAATGTCTAGTTATAACAGGGGCTTCTAAATAGTGATATTACTTTTTCAATATGGTAGGAACAAGTGAGTTGAGAAGCAAGTTTTTCTCGGACGATCAATCATGGACATAAGGAATATATATATATATATATATATATATATCCTCAGAAAATTGTTGGATTTGATTAAGAACTCTTTGCGTTCTACAGTTCACCGGGTTTTTGTAGAATAGTACATTTGGCTAGCAATTCTCCTATACATATAACAAGCAAAATATTTAATTACTGACTCACCGTTTGTGGTTCGATTAAGATGTTTTGACTACATTTCCGAAATTGTGTTAGACATGACGTGTGATAGGCTCGGGTTCTTTACAATTCAAAAGTACTCACATCTCTCCACGATCTTTTCATAGTTTTTTTTCATGAATTTTTTAGAAGGTCTATTTAAATGCAAAAAACTTAAATATTTAACTCTGAGAAGTTCTTTCTTTCCTTCCGAGCACTTAAAAATATTTTTAAAGAGATATTCTTGTAAATTTAAATACTATTTTCACAATAAGAGATTTCCTAGCTCTACTCGATAGTTTTTTTATAAGTTTTAAACATTATACCAAGAGCACTGAAGAAGTGACTTCTGAAATTAAACATTGATGAATCATATCTAGACTCAAGCAAATCATTCTATTGAAGAAAAGAAATACTTATGAGACTAAAAACATTAAAAAAAAGTGTTTCTGAGTCTTTCCGAGCAAAAGCGTAAACAATTCAAATCTTCGGCAAAAAATGGTTGTAGAGCGCTAGGAGTGGTCTTCGACACTTCTCCACATTAGACTATGTTTAACGCAAAACTGAACAACTTTTCAAAGAAAAGAAGAGAGCTACACGCATAAATACTATGAAAAGTCGCACGAACAATCATGGGAACCACTGTACTACATCACGAAATAAAATTCGTTTCAAGCAAAACGAAGTGCTAGAAATATTATTAAGAAATAAGATGCATATATGATCAATAGTCCAATTCAAAAAACGTTTTAGAAACTTTTGTCAATACTGCATCTTCTGCCTCTTGGTGGTTTAAAGTATCGTTAAGAATCCACGATTGACGCACTAAAATAGAGAACTTCATCAAAAGACCAGCCATGGTTTACGGATAAAATTCGTGATTTATTACGCTTGAAACAAAAACATTGTCGTCGTTTTATGCACACAAAAAGATGTGGGAGATGAACAGACTTAGAATACCGCTGTCAGGGAGGTTGAAAGAGAATGTGTAAAGACTAAGAGTATTATGATTGTTTATCGTCTAGGAAAACTTATTCTAAAACATGGTGAATATTATTAAAAAATTTACTTGGAAAGACAAAACGTTCCAATGTTCCACCATTGATTGATCCATTAACCAATTTAATCGTTTCTTCGTCAATAGACCGTGCGCAAGTGCTTAACCTTTTTTTTACATGAACGTGTAGAAAAACGTTCAGTCTATCACCTTGTTCAATAGCAAATTTATAAATAAACACAATGATTTTTAGAAATTACTGAAATCTACAGTATATTTTGACTATTAGTTATTCTACAATGAAATTCCACTTCCATGACTATTGATAATTCTCATCTATTTTTCTATTTTCGGTTATTTGAACGAACATAATTTCATATATATGCAGCAGACATGAGTACAAAAAAAAAAAAAATCAAACAGAGCACAATAACAGGCAAAAATGGCAACATCTTCGATATCGCAAAAAACGAAACACAACCATCTGAGAATACAACGAGAAAGAGAGTTTATACGGTGAAAAAAAAAGAGAAGAAATTAGCTACATTGATTTGTCTTTAATGTCAATAGGAATAGACGAAAGAAAAGCATTTCAAGTTAATCACAAGCATTTTTAAAGCCAAAACAAAATAAAAAGTATGATGGAGAAGATGACACATAAAGGCTGTTGCTTCTCACAAAAGAAAAACAAATAAAAGCATTGGTTAACTGAACAAATGTTTTTCTTCATATTAACGTAATTTTCAATTATTTTTGTCTGATCGATAGTCTTTAATTTATAGTAAACATTTAAAAAGGATCGCATCTAGAGGAAAACTACGCTCTTGTTTGACTACTTCTCACTTCTTTCGGAATAAAAAGTAAGATCTATAACGGTAAAATAGAACGTAGGGAAAATAAAAACGACATTAGAAAAAATGACTAGAGCGTACTTTTTATTTGGTGTTTGAATTGTTTTCTATTCTATACGCAAATACAACAATTGAACACTATTCTAAGAATACAACAAAACAAAAACACAGATAAGACGAGATCAAGTCATCAAATGAATAAATCAATATATAAAAACATTCTAAGTGATAGTATACACATCTTGACAAGAGAACTTTTAACGTAGCAATTTGTTCGAAAAATATGTATAAACAGAAACGAGAGATGTTTTTCTCAATTAGAGAATAAGAAGTTTAATGTTTTTATTCTAAATAAATTGGAATGAAGTATTTTTGCTCTTTCTTTCTCTCTCTACTTATAAATGAACGGTTGTTCTTACAGAAACTGAGTATGTATATATAAATATTTACAACATAAAACAAATTTCAATAGCGACAACAACAATAATAAAAAATGAATGAATAGTCAATTATTCTACGATGTGTATAAAAAACAAACCACACTAACACACACACACACACACACAAAAAAAAGAAAACATATGATTATAGTAATTTCATTCAGTTTAAAGAAGAGTATGACCACTAACGAAATACTTGTTGTTGTAGTGGTATTAGTTAATTAATCAATATTATGCCATATTCACCATTCGAAATCAAATTCATTCATTATGTTTTACTATCTTTCTCCTTTTTCTCTTTTCGTTTCTTCAAAAATGATGGTGTACGAAATTTAGATTTTTTCTCTTTTTTCTCTTCTTTTCGTGTTGGTGATACCTAAAAAAAATAGCATAAATAGATTATCATCAATATTCATGATTAGTAACTCTGGGTACAGATATTTTCCAATAACTGAATAAAAACAGGATCCAACACTAAGCTTGTTTGGAAGCATTGCATTACACAATCAAGAATTATTTTTTGTCAAGCTTATTTTTACTGTTAAACATACACATTAAATATGAAGTGATTTTAGTACACAAAGTTAGTGTAATATTGAATAAAATAAATCACGTCTATATGACGGAATTTTTTGGATATACTAAGCATCTCGATCTTAAATCTTATTGAAAACCAAAAGTAAAAAATAAGCATTAAAAGAAAACATTCCCAATGCTGTGATTCTTAAGCGCAAATATTTTGTCATTTATTTTCTACTAACCGAGCTCGATGTACGAGCTACAGAAACAGGCTTTCGATTAGTATCATTTGATGAAGTTGTTTGATGCTATAAAACAGTTAAATATATGCAAATTTTTTGCAAAACATATACCGTATTTGCGTTCTATTGCATTGAAAATTAGAAGAAAACTGTACGTACTTCTCGACTTGATGCCGAACTGCTCGTCGTCGATTTCATTGTATCTGACTTGCTCATACTCGTTGTTGCAACTTCTAAAAAAAATATATCATTGACAAATTAATGTTGCTCTTCTATCTCTCACTCTCTCTCATACACACACGCACACACACACACAGACACACAGTAGAGAGCGACATCAAAAAATCGAACATAGGCGTACTTGCAGCGGCACTTGCACTTCGTGATACAGACGTACTGTGGCGACCATCATTTTCATTATCTACGCCTGAAAAAAATAAACCACAGCACACATAATGAACACGAACACAATGTGCCGTACATGCAGTTTAGAATAGAGAATTTCATGCATGAAATTAATAATTGTAATAAGGTATTCATTCTTGGACAAAGTTCACATATGACACTATATGTAAGCTTACATGAAACGAAATCACTCTGACAGATCTAATATTCCGTAACAGCTGTGAAAAACGAAGAGATTTGAACGAAACAATGCCTTAAATGACATTGTGAAGGTGAAAAGGTTTATACAGTATCAGTACAACATTAAATATTTGCTATTTTTCTATGTTAATAAAAATTCGCAATTTCATAGACAAAAATTAATTAAGTGTCTGTCTCTTTTGCCGATTTTATAGATGCAGTTCGTGCAAGTATTTTGTTTTCAAGTTATTGTTATTATTAATTTCATGCATAAAAATGAAATTTTTTACGCATACTTTGACCGGATAAAGTAGCACTTCTAGGTATAGCAGTTTTTTCGACATCACCATTAACAGCATGCCTGCCTAAAGAAAGAGAGAACAAAAGAAAGAGACACAAAACTCTTCTAGCCACTTTACATTTATACACACACACATACAGACACACACACTAAGACGTTGTTCTTTCAATGTTTTTATTTAATAGAGTGTAGTATGAGTGAATTTTTACTCATCTTTGCACATACAATAGAATAACATTGAAAAATCTAATCGTGGTCATTATAGTTATTTCTGATAGATATAAATCGTCTACAGTTTATTTATTTTTTGTATTTAAGATAAAATAAATTTTTTAATAAATCAACAAAGTTTTTATGTAATATCTAACTCTTATTATTTGCTTATAATATACATGTATATTAATACTCTTTACATAAAAAATACATTAATTTTACTCTTTTTTTTTTCTTTCATTCAAAATTCTACACCAAACATCTTGATAGAGTAATAAAAAAACAACAACAGTGTAACGACATTATGCAAATGTTAGTCATTTATTGTTAAGATAGTGAAAGGTGATTTTGTACTGACGACCTTCGTCTATTAATAATACGTGTACAAATAATGAAAGTATTGAAATTACAGAAAGGGGAAAAAAAAATGAAAAATCTTTTCGCCAACGTTATTTCCTTTCGAAATCTGATATACATACTAAAATTGATTAGAGAATGCTGTTAAAAACAAAAAATACCTATTTATAAGAACGAAAAACGAATAACAGATGTTAAATAGAACTTATGATTTGTAAAGTAAGGATACTGCCATCTAATTATTAAAAAATGATTAGAATAAGATGCACAAATTAAATTCTACCGTCTAAATCATGTACATCTTAGGGATGTCCAGAGTTCAGAACGCAACAAATTTACAAGATCAGAAATCAAACAAAAGTTTCGATATTCTACACTTCGTCCCTCATATAAACAGATTTTTCTCTTCTGAAATCTATCACCGGAAATTATCATAAAATGGGTATTCCAGCTTAATCAAAGTACTCATTTAGTCCATTTTATTGAATTGAACGGTAGCATTGAAGGACATTAATTTTTATAGTTATGTCACATCTTGTCAAAAAAAATAAAAAAAATAGGTATGAAATATAAAACATGTTCAATTTATTTCAATAACGCGAACACACTTGCAAAATGTAGTGAGCCATTCATTTTTTTTTAAACTCTTTGTTAAGGTCGTTATAGTTCTTGTGTCATATGTCAGTTATATAGTGAATCAATTCTCATTTTCTTAGGTGGATTACTTCTCTTTTTTCTTATAATAATTATAGCAATAGCAGTAAAAAAAAGAAAAATACTGCAGATTTAACATTTTAATGTTATGTCAAAAAAGAAAAATGAGTAAAGATAGTAGAAAAGAGATAAAACGTATACTATATAAAAAGAAGATGAACGACAACACGAAAAAAAAAACACAAAAATATGAAGGTGAAATATATATATATAAATTGCTATTTACATACGCGCATAGACATAACGTTTTAATTCTCTTTTTTTTAAAGTAAATTGCTGTTCAAAATGACACCAAATAATCAAATATAAATACTATTCTATAATAGAAATATAGAATCAGCAAGAATAGGAATCGAGTGGACGGAGAAGGTATCATCCATTCGAGGAGAAATATGGAAGGAATGCTGAAATGGAATGTTTATACTGTTCGAATTCACTATAGAGTGATATGATAGTCAATTCGCCACATAGCTTAGTATTCAAAATGAAAAATCTAACAAAATACTGTTCTTAAACCATATGTATAAACATCATCAAAAACGATGAAGAAAGAAATTAAAATGATATATAACAGATTAAAAAAAATTTATTTAGTAATAATTAACTATAGCGAATTTGTGATGCCGTTTGCTCATTTCCGGCTAACCAAACTGGTCGTTCTGTTCTCTGAGTTGAAATTTGTTGTGGTTGTTGTTGTTGTTCTTGACGATTTCTTTTATTGATAACAGGTGGACGTGATGGTTCAACAGGTCGACCATAATTTTGATCTGTTAAACTACTTAATCGTGTTTTTACTTGTTGAGATTGCTGTGAACGAAAATGATTTGTTCTAGATTGAGGAGTTGATGAGGGTACTTCTGACTGTCTCATGTTAGCTATAACCATTTCTGATCCAATACTAGATGTCGATGGAGAACGCTCTGCTTCGTTACGAACATTTCCTAACGCACCGTTAGTGTGCATTAAAGTTGGATTTGATGGACGATTTTGATAAACAGGTGGTATTGATCTTTGAGTTGTTACTTGTTGATTTTGCCATGGAATATTATTCTCATCAACTTCTTCATCATTTCTCTCATAATTATTTGGTTGAACATGTTTACGCTGTTGTAAATTTCGATTATTTAAATTATAGTAAATATTATCATTTCGTTGTTCTCGTCTAACATTACGTTGATCACTGTCATACAGATTGTTTGCATTCTCACCATCGCCGTCGTCATCGTCAACATGATCTTGATCCGTATCATTTTCATCATCATTTTGTTCTCCTTGCACTGTAGTTTTAACATTGATATATCTTGATTCACCATCACTTCGTTGCTCTGAAGCATTTGCCAATTTTTTAGCCTCATCTGGAGCCATTTTATGACCTAACCATTCTTCATACTCTGTACGATTATTAAATTTTAACATACGACGAACAGTTTTAGGTGATACATCAGGATGCTCAATTGAAAGATATTGTGCCAAATTCTCATACATGACTTGACCTTCATTTTTCGTGTGTACATACCTGTTAAAATAAATAGAATTTAGAATTAAATTCTTAAAATTATTCGCTCGATTTTCATATTTTTCTCCTATTTTCTTTCAAAAAAACAATTTAATTCAAAAGATACACAAAAGAAACTATTCAATTTGATAGCCCTTATTTTCTGGTATAGTTGGCTTTTCATTGATATTTTGAGACGATATACTACATAAAAACATTAAACTCTGTTTAAGAGTCGTGTTATAGTATAAAAACTGCATTAAACTTCTATTGAAATAAATGAAACTTTTTACGTACACAGGCGCTTCTCTTAATGCGATATCTCGATAATGATGTGGTGCAATTAATTGTGGATTAGTTGGTAGTACCGGATATCTACTAGGTAACATCATAACGTAAGCAGGATCAGTTCCTAATACAGCATCATTTTCATACATATATTGAACATAAAATCGTGTACGACGATTTGAAGATAACATTGTTTCATCATCGGGTATAACTAATATTCTTGGACGTGGACAAAGTGTCGTTTGTGATTTAGCTCGATCATTTTCTAGACGATTTGTATAATTTATATCTTCAAATTTTCCATTTTTTAACATTTCTGGGTGACTTTTAGTTAAATCATTAATTGTTAGCGCTTTTTTTTTATCATTTTCAACGTATCCTAATATATTTAGATACGGTGCTACATTTTTTATTGTACGTACTTCACATGGTAAACCGTGTTTATGCGGAGAATTTTGCCAATTTAGATTATAATTATCTAAATTAAGATATTGACCGTCAACATTACTATCTTGTGTATACATCATTTGTTGATCATCAGTAAACCAAGGATGTCGTGTTGTTGTAGTAGATGCCGATGTAGTCAACGAGCCAACAGATTTAGAATGTCTTAATAGAGGTAGCAAAGACGAAGATGGATATTTTTGTTGTTGTCGAGATAATGTCATTGAACCATTTAGACCTGAATTTAATGAGTCTCGATCAAGAGCAAAATCATTTTCATTATCAAGTGTTTCTTTATGTAATTGATTAGCACGATCAAGAATATCTTTTGATAATTCAAACGATGTTTTACCGATTGTAATAATTAATCCACCTAATTTATTTGATTGTACTTTACCAATACGATCGATAAGGCGTGCAACAATTGTACCCGTACGATGTGGAGATGTATTTATTGTTTCAATAGCATTTATGGCTTCAATACGTGGTATAACAATTTCATCTTCATTCATTTTAATTACTAATCGACCACGTTCATCTTGATATATTGAGGCAGCACGATGAATAAAATTCGCTAACATTAATAACGGATCAACAGCATATCCACCACTTGCATCTGGTTGTTGTACACTTCCACCTAATGTACTTGTCGATGCTGATTTTTGTATTGGATCATTTCGTGCTTGACGATTAAATGGAAATAATAATTTTAATTTTGTTCCAGGTGGATTTTGACTCATCAATTGTCTTCGTTGTTGTAAACGTATTGTTTGATCACCTAAACGTATAATTAATATTTTTCCATCTAGTTCTTCATGAATATCATCGGCATATTTGGTTAATAATACTGCAATTGTTTGACCATTTACTGGACCAATTAATTGTGAACCAATATTTGCCGGTATAACAAATTTTTCTCCATTACGCAATGAAATTACTATTGAACGATCACTACGTTGTAAACATTTACCATTTACATCAAGTATTTCGCCTAATAATCGAACAATACGTTTTTCTTGTGATTCTGTTGTGAGAACATCATACCAATTTGTTATATTAGGAAATGTATAATGTTGACCATTATTATATCGATAAATAATATTTGTTTGTAATGGATCAGTATTTACCATTTCAACATGACCATTTCTTAATAAAAATTGAGCTAATTTATTTTTTGATATACCAACTGGTTGTTCATTAACTAATGCGGCTAATAATTCTTCATTAATTATTAATTTTTGTTGATTATCAGGTGTCATTGATAAAATTAATTCATTTGTATTATTATCTAAATTGGCACCACCATATTGATCAATATGTTCTACTATATTTAATATACATTTCATTTGTACATCTGGATCATTCATATCAATTTTAGATAATTGTTGTTGTCGTTGACGTGCAACAGGTGTTAAACCAAAACGTTTAACAATTGCATTTAATGTTGATGATGATTGACTCTTTTTTACTGGCTCATCGAATGAACTTTGATATTGTTGTATTGATGTTTTAACCAATGGTAATTCGTATGGTTTTTGTTTATGTATTAATATTATATTTCCTTTACGTGAATTTTTTATTGTATCACTATTATTTAATAACCACTCAGATAATTGATGTGAAGCAAATGGTAAATTTATTGTTGAACGTGTCGATAAATTATCAACATATGTTGGATCAATAATTGATTTTAATTGATCATAGGGTATAGTTAAAATATTATTAGAAAAACGTAATTGAAATAATCTTTTACGTTTATCATATGTTATTTGTTCACGTTTACACATATAATCAATTGTTTCATGATAACGATTTATAAATTGTTCTCGTGTTTCATGATTAAGACGTTGATAAAATTCTCGATCATTATTACTATTTATTGTATCGGCAATACCAGATTCAGATCTTGATCTTTTTTCTGGACCAAGACGTTGTTCAAGTGATTTGATTACATTTGATAATGGTTGTTGATCTGTTGATACTACGGATGGTGGTAATTGAATATATTGATCATTATAAAGTAATAAAATATTTTGAAATTCATCACGTGTTATTGTTCCATGTTGACTAAGTATATTAACAACATCTCTACGATGTAAATTATTTGAACGTATTTGTTCTGTATGTTCAGGTGTAAAATAAAGTTCTTGTTCTTGATTTTGTAATACTAATAGTCCATTTGTACGATCTTGTTTCATGCCATCTTGTTCAATAATAAGATCGATAAATTTTCTTAACATTTCAGTTTTTTGTTTTGTAGATAATTTATATGTTTGTAATTGTGTTTCAGTTGTTGTTTGTTTCGGTATTGGTCTTGGTACTTGTAATGAATATTTTTGATTATTAAATACAAATGTATTATTTTTATCTGTCAGATATCCTCCATTTATTAGTAACATATCGATTATGTATGAACGATCAAAATTACTATCGCGAATATTTTGTATCAACACATTAGGTATAGGTAAACGTTGACCATTATGAAATTCTAAATCAATTTCTCCCGTTGATTCATTGATATGTACATGTCGAATATGAGATAAAATGAGTGAACGTTGTGCTATTTGTTCACTAGTATTTTCTTTATTATCATTTTCATCAGGTGGAATATAACGATAGGCCCAATTTTCATTTTCTGTATCATATCGAAGATGTCCATTTTTCAATAAATATTCGGCAATTGAACGTTTATTTTGCGGTGTTTTTAATTGTTGATAAGGTATTCTTAGAATTTGTGTACGTTCACCATCGAATAAATCAACTTCTGTTTCATTATTTTTCTGATTTGAACGTATCTCATGTATAATTGATTGTAACCAATCTAATTCACGTTGTCTTTCGTTATTATCAACGGTTGTTGGTGTTACTGTTGTTGTTGTTGGTGGTGGTGGTGGTGGTGTTGTTGATAATGTCGTATCAGATAATGGCACTGATTTATTATCACGATAGACTAAATTTTTATTATTTTTATCAATATAACCATGTTTAAGTAGAATATTAGCAATATCAACCATACTAATTACTTCTGGATGTTCATCATCTTCTGTAATATGTTGAGATTTTGATTCCATATAGGCATTAACATCATCATGATCAACAAATAATTCATCATTAGTGTCATTATTTAAAATAATATCATTTTGATCAGTTATAACTATGAGATGTTGACGATTTAATTGATCTAACCAACGTATTAATTGAGAAATTTGTTCAGGATCAATTTCAACGATTTTTGGTGATTGTTGTTTTAAATTTGGTAATGTTAAACGTAATTTTTTTGAACGCGATAAAATTACTTTATCATTTAAATTTTTAAATTTATACATATTATTATGAAATTGCTTAATTACTAATGTTCTACCATTATCTTCAATAAATGTTTGTGAATTATCATAAATATATTTTGCTACACGATCAATATTTAATTCTAAATCATGACATAATAATTTTGTTTCATTTTCATCAAATAAAATTTGTTGATTATCATAATTAAAACATAATAATCCACCGGTTGAATTTAATGTTATACTACCATATTGATTTATATTCTCTAATAATAATTTAATAGTTTCAAGCACAACTAACTGTTCTTGTATATTGTGTCTAGTAGTCATTTCATCGTTGTCGTTATCGTTATCTATTACATTTACTATCGATCTTCTTTTTTCTCTCATTTCTTCTTCTTTTTCATATTCGCTTATATTTTGTTCAATTTCAAGAGGAATACGAAAATGAAGTTCTGATATATTTTCTTTTCTCATTGTAGGTAACATTGATGATGATGATTTTTGTTTCATTTTTTCACTATCAACAATTTTTATTGTTGATGATGGTAATATAGTTAATGACAATTTATTATCAACATTATTTAAACTTATATTTGCATTAGCTTTATGCCAACGTAAAATATCATCTAATTTTAATGCCTGACGATGAAATAAATGAGATAAACGTGAACCATCTTGTCCTTCAATACGAACTATTTGATTTGGTAGATATTTAATAATAAATACACGTCCCTGTTCACTTGACCATCGACAATTTGTTTCAAACCATTTTAATAATTGTGAATCTATTTGTTCTTGAGATATTTGCTGTTCAAGAGCTATTGCTGGTGATGTTCGTGACTGACGATCATGTGATGGTATAGTAATTGAACGTTGATCAAAACTTAAACGGAAATTATTATTTGGTAAATCTTCAACATTACATATTTCTAGTAGAGTAATAGCTAATTCATTTGCATTTAATATTTCACCATTTTCATGTTTTTGAAAGAGTTCGGATACAAAACTTCCAGGTATAATTAAACGTTCATTGTAAGGACATTGAATTATTAGTGAACCATCTTCATTATGAAAATTAACTTCAACTGTTCGTAGAAAAGACGATAATTGTTCTCGTTGAAGGTCATTTATAACTGTTCTGGGAATGATCAGAGAAGATGATGGCTCTAATAATCCAGATACGTCTAATTCCACATTGCATAATGTGACAAGTTTTTGTTCAGGATCATAAGAAACTTGTCCAATTCTTATTAAATAATTTAATATAGCTGACCAACGATATTGTCGTTGATTATATAAATCAATTAAATGATTACCTCCTCTACCAATTAATGGTATACGTTGACCGTCAATATTCAAAAAAATACTATTATTATTTTGTGGTAATTCCGTAAATGTTGAATTATCTTCCAACCATTTTTCAACGTTAGGCTGTATTTCTGATGGTATATTTCGATTAACACGTGGTAATTGACGAATCCATTGTGATTGAGAATATTTTTTTTTATATTTAGCCCATTTATCAGCAGGAATAACAATAGGTTCTTGTTTAATAAATATAACTAATTGTCCTTGTTCGGTTTCATATGGTTGTATTATACGATCAATTGAGTCTACATATACATCACGAGATAGTTTTATTGCATCAATATTCTCATTAGGATGACCACGTCCAACATCAGGTAAACGAAAATTCATATTTATTTGTTGACCATCGATGGATAATACTAAATTACCATTATTATCTCGTAAACGACGACAGTTATTTGATAAATAATCATAAACAAAATTTTCATAGCTCAAATCATTTTCAACAGTCTGTTTAATTTGTTCTTGTTCTTGTTGTTGCTGTTGTGACATTAAGATCGATAATTCTTGCCATTCCATTTGATTTCTAGCATCTGGACGAAGATTTTCATAAATATGTTGTTGTTGTTGTTGTTGTTGTTGCTGTTGTTGTTGTTGTCGTTGCTGCTGTTGTTGTAATAAAACATCATTCGAATTAACTATCATTGAACTAGTTGATATTAAAGACGCAATACCCGCAGATGGATCTGGACCTGGTTCTTGTGATGAACGAATTCGCTCTCTTTGTTGAGCCTGAGGATGAAGTTGCTGGTGGTCAACAGATGATTCTTCGATTATTGTTGTCGGTCCTGAACCACCGAATGGACGAAATTGTGTTTTCTGTCGACGACTATCGGGTTCTTCTGAAGAACTATATCCTGACTCAATGATACCACCAATATTGTCCAATTTTTTCCCTGATGTTATAGTTGTCTGCTGTTGCTGTTCAAAGGATGATACTGAATGTTGATCAAAATCATTAGTTCGTATCTGTTGCTGTGGATGTCTTCTTCTTGTATTCACTTCTTTAGTATTCGCTCGATAAGTATCCAGTGCTCGACGGCCTTTTGTATGTACAGGAGAATCATCTTGTGATGATGTTACAGATTCAACTGATTCACTTAATTTTAAACCTTGCTGTTGTTGTGGAACTTGTTCAGTTTTCACACGTGATGTACGGCTAGAAGCAGACGTCTGTGTTTGTGGACCCGTGCCGAAAACAGTTATATTAGGTTTTGTTTCATGAACAACACTATTTTCACTATATTTTGCTATGCCTGATTGTTGTTGTTGTTGAGGCTGTTGTTGCCATGCTCCAGCTCCACTAACTGCTACAGTGATACCTGCATCCTCATTTTTAGACTTGAAACGTTTTGTATCATTAATATCGAGCGTTGGTGGTAATTGTTGATTATCTTGTTGTTCACGTGATCGTTGTCGTCTGATTTGTACATGCTCACGTACAGGATTATCTTCAACATCAGCTTCGGCCGCTTGATCTTCTTCTTGACTGTCATCAATTTGTGTATCACCTGAGTCTGTACGAAATCGCTGTGCACTCTGTTGTTCTTGCAAACGTTTTAATTGCTCACGCTGATGTTGTGTTAAATTTAACCAAAATGTATGATTCCATTTCCATGTTTTTCCATCGTTTAAATATTCGCCAATATCATAAAGACTCCTAATTCGATTATTATTTGTTATATTACGAATATCATCAAGATTATATGGCGGAGGTGCTATTTGTTGTTGTTTTTGTCCTACTAGATCATTCCAGGTAAAATCAGAATAGGTCGGTGTATTTAACGATTTGATAGGTGATTCAACTCTGGCTGGTAATGCATGATATGTATTCTGTTCACGTGAGCGATTGACAGTTGATGTAGTTGTTGTTGGTACACGATGATCAGTAATCCGAAATCGTACTTCATCACCATGTTTTGATAGACGTTCTTCTGGTTCATCTGTTATACGTCGTTGTGATGGTGGACTATTTAATGTAGACGAATCAGATGAACGATTTTCAAATAGGTTACGTAATTTATCGACACGTCCGGTAGTTGGTGTTGACTGTTCGTGTTCCAGTGAACTCAAACGTTCTTTCACCCATTTTGACTGTGGAACTGTTTGATGTGGACGAGGTGATGTCGTAGACGAAACGACTGTGGGGCTATCGGTAAGCAAACGATCAGGTTTATAATCTAAACGTTGTAATTTTTCACTAACTTTTGCCGGATCAACTCCAATTGGAGAGCTGATAGGTAGTACCAAAGGTGGAGGAGGAGGAGGTGGACCAGTAGGTCTTAGAGAAATTGTGTTTGTTGCACTCAATACTTCGTTCAAATTTGTTATCCCGCCTGCTCGTTGTAAACGACTAGTTGGTATTGCTAAATTTAAATACTCATTCTTATTTGTATCGTAGGAAACGGCCCCTTTATCTGTGTCGGTTGTTGTGTCTTCTTCTTCTATTTCCATATCAACTTCATCTTCACCGTTATCTTGAGCTCTTGTTGATGTTCTTGGTACAATTTGTGGTGGCACTATATTTTGTTGTGATGATTCTTCACTAATACTATTATTTGCACTCGAAGGTATTACTTGTATTTCTTCATTAAACTGTACTTTTGATGGGCGTCGATAACCATCTTGTTCTTGTTGTTGACTATCAGTTAGTAAAATGGATGTTTCAAATGCGCCTAAATCTTCAGAGCCTGGTTCGTATGCCGGAGGCCAACTCGAGACTCTTCCTGCGGGAACAGTTTGATAACTGTATGGACCGGATGCTTGAGCTTGAGAAAAAATTGTACTTTCTTCTTGCCAGTCACGATTGGTAAATGAACCAGACATACTACTACTTCCTTCGTCACTCAAATGACTGGTACGGTCAGAATCGGGTTCGTTTTGTGATGTAGGTTTTTTTTGATTTTCTAGCCGTTTTTCAACCACATTTTCAATAGCTACTGCGTCACGTGGCAACTGTTGAGTAACGACTTTTGTTTGTTCTTGTCTTAGCGTTGTTTGTGGCTGAGATAATGGTAGTTTTCTTCCAGAATTAGTTGAGATGGGAACTGATGTAACAGATGTTGTAGTCTGTGGAGGGATAACGCGTGTAGTTATTTGCTGAGGCACCTGATTATTTTGTGCAATGATTGTTGTTAATGAAGAGGAAGATGTTGTTGTAGAAGACGATGAATTTTGTTTTCTCATTGTTGTTTGTAACTGAGAGTCGGATGAAGGTTGTGCTAATGGTTTTTGATTATCATCAACATGAATTATATATTCTTCGTATGTGTAACGAGATTCTTCGACTAAATCAGATGTTTGTGATAGATCAGGAGAAGATAGATTATCGTCAATAGCAGCTGATGCTAAACGTTGACTACCAGAATTGATACGTACACGTTGTTCGTAAAGTGGACTTGTTTCACGTATCCCTTGTTGTTGTCCTTGTCGAATGGTTTGTTGTGCTGTTAAACGACCGTCAACAATAACTGTACTACCGTGTGTAGATAATCGAGGAAGATGTGAAATTTGTTGTGATTGTTGATTTTGTTTTTTTGATGCACCTGGTGATGTCTGAGTTGATTGTGTGTTTAGAAAAGTATATTGTGTTTGAGTGGATTTTGATGATAAATTACGATTTGACTGATGTCGAACTTGTTCAGAAATTGTAATATTTGAACGTTTAGGAATACGATCTTGTTGTTCAGTAAATATACACGTATCTTTAAATTTTTGATCTTTATCGTTTGCAGTTCGATTTAAATAATAAACGGATAATAATTGTGTTTCAGCAAATGATGGTATTGATTTTGATGAAAAAAATGGATCGTAACACTGTTCAGTTTGTGTTTCAATTGTACGTTGTCCAAACGATAAATTTTCTTTTGATGAATGTTTTATAATTTGATTATCATTTGTCGTCATCAATTGTGACGATGATTGATTTTGAAATAACAAAGGAGATGATACAATACGAAGAGGCAACGTATGTTCAGATGTATTAGTTGCACTCTGTATAATTACACGTGATGAAGATGTTTCACTACTATCCGATAAATAAGCTGTCTGATGATGAATATCGTTTTTGTCACCAGTTTTTAATGTATGAGATAATTGTTCAGATGAATGAACACGATATGGATCCATTGAAAACTAAAAATTGTCAATACCTAAAGCAAGAGAAAAATATGTTAAAAATCTTACTTTTATCTAGGAAAATTAGTCATAGAAAATTTCGACTCATTCTCTTCAAACATTTGTTAAATGTGTTTAAAAAGAAGAAAAAAACAGATCAAATTGACCTTCTATAAAGAATGCAAACTAACGTTTATCATTGATTTTTTCTCTATCTACACAAATGAATACAAAGGGCGTTAGTGATTGATCAAATTCTTCGTTATATAGTGACTTTTGAACTTGCTTTGCTTTCTAGTTACTATCAATGAGTCTTAGATAACTATGAAACGGTTCAAATCAACGTTATTCCATCACCACACTTTTTAGTTTATCAGTGATTCTTCTTTTCAAATTGTATATACCATCTCAGATATTCGATATCGTAAATTTAAAAATATCTTGTCAATTTCAAAAAATGATTGAAAATGATTGATACAGCACGAAGAAGAAAGAAAAAAGAAAACATTAAGAGGTTAGTTAATAAAGAAAACGCACACACGCACACACATGTAGTTAGATGTGTCAAATTGTATTAATAATTACATTAATTTAAGAAATTGACAAGATTGATTTTACACACACACACACACACATACACACATCCTTCTTTCAAATACCTTCATTTTTGTGTCTGTTTGATTGATTTAATGAATGTTTTTATTTCTCATTTTATTTCATCAAATAAGCGTTTTAGAATGCAAAACCATCCAAAATTGTATCTAAAAAATCTTGAACTTTTCTGGTTTGCTTTATTGTAGACAGTATTAAAAAAAATTCTCCTTTTTTTTCCTGTATATTCGTGAAATCCGTCTCAACTAGCGTTTTTGTGACACATAATAAAAACTGAGTTAGTTAAATCAAACGTATTTTATATGAAGGAAGAGAAGAGAAAAAAAAAGATTATTTTACCTCTTATTCATTGCTAATAGTTTTTTTTCAAAAAAAAAAATTGTTAGTCATTCTCTTTTCTTCTTCTTCTACTTCTTTTTTTTCACAAAGACTAAGCGCACTTCGAAAAAATGTCACATACACGCTTCTTCTGTTTGTGTAAGTTTCTTTCGTAAATAAAACATACTTTTCTTCTTTTTTTTTTTTTTATTATGGTTTTATGATAATTTTATTTTATTTTTATAAGAGGTATACCGCATGGAAGAACGAAAAGAAAGAACAGTGAAAAAACAGGCACTAGAGCCTTTTCATATCGATAAACTTCTTTTTCAGTTTTATATTGATTATAATTTTGTCAATTTCGAAACGGTAAAATACACATAGGTGTAAGTTATTCATACTATCGATAAGAATATGTGCGTATATAAATGCTCAACAACAACAACAACAACAACAACATTAAAAAAAAATGTGTTTAATCCTACGCACATAAATAGATTCACTCTTATACATGTATAAATAATGACTATAAATAACAATATTAGACAAAATAGACGAAGAAATGAATAGAAGTGAGAGAGAAAAAAGTAAAAACTTTTTCACCCACATTTTCTTCGATTTTCAAAACAAAATAACGAAATAATGAAGTTTCGTATAAAAAACAACTATCAACGTTTTATTAGTCACATTTCATCAAATTCAAATCCAGAATATTTTATCATACATTTTTAAATCGACTTTTTAAACAATCTATAGAAAATAGATTTTTACTAATGTTAATTAAAAATATGATTCAATTTTAACTATAAATCTCGTATTAATTAGCCAAATCAAAGAAAAAAAACTTGAAATGTTATTAAAAATGTGACACTATTCTCCCCTTTCAATATGTCTTAGTTGTCTTCATCATGGTACTCATTCAGCTATCTCTTCTCACGTCATCTCTAGAATCTATTCTCCTACACTATTATAAAACTCGAGATTTATCCTCATCTTTCAAATGACTTTTTCTGAATTGTTTTTCAACTAAACTTCACGTAAATAATCGAATTTTATCTTTCAAATTTTTATACACGCAATTCAAACAAAAACTCTCATAAAAAACATTTTTCTTTAAATGTAGCTATTCGAGCTTAATAAGTGATGTTCGAAAAAGTTCTTTATATCTCACAAATAGTTTATTTTCTATGAAGAGATAGTTGTCAAGAGAAGAGAGAATTTTTTAATTTTCGATATTATGTTTTATTTCTTCTCCTTGTCAAAAAAATAGATAGATGTTTTTTTGAAGAAAGTTAAAAACAAAAACTATCTTTAAACAACGAAAATTCATATCAATATAGTAGTGATCAAATAGAAAAATGAATATTAAGTTAAAAGAAGTTTAATATTGATTGATATCGTGCCATTTATGTGCTAACTATTATATTAGTGTGAAAGAATAGTAGTAGAAAAATATCGACTATTACTCATCGTTTAAGTGAGAGAGAATATATATAAAATGAGTGAGATTATTTTAACATGCATAAGATTTTATATTTCTATTTTTTATAATTATATCTGATTAGTTAGTATAAACAAATAATCGATCTTTTTTCATCACACAAATTATGTTAAATATAAGTTTGTATAAATGTTTGAGGTTATTTAAGTACTTACATCCATTTTTGTAAAATTTTTACTTGAAATCTATTGTTGTTGTTATTTCTCTGAAAGGAAAACGAAAATGGCAGTTTGTCCTTATATACCATGTTTAATAATTATATTATTAAATTCATTCTTTCATATCTTGTTTTTTTTTTCTTGTTTTTTTCTCCTATTTTCATAGGAAAATAATGAAATTTGGCTGTTTATTTTCACTTTTTTTTTCTCTTTTTCTCTATCTCTCTCTCTATCTTCGAATTTAGTCTATGTCTGTAGTTGCAGGTCCATTATTGGTACTATTTATTATTATTATTGCCCTTATTTCTTTTCTTTTGCGCTCTTTTGAACCGGTAGATTCTGATTTTGTTCATATGTTATGAAGACAAAGGTGTGTATATGTGCACCAATATTAATAGAAAGTTTCAAGAACAGAATAAAAAAAAGAACAACGAAAATCCATATTTTTCCATTTGCTATGTCGATAATGTGTTTTTTTTCCTACGGAGAAAAAGCAGACATTGTTCGTATGTATATCAGTAAGTCGAGGCCACTTATCAACTGATAAAAAAAGAAATCTTAACAGCATTAGTTAATAACAAAAGTTTTAAGCAGTCATATTTGGTAAACAAAGACAAAAGAACGATTTGTAGATATGTCAACAGTCTCATTCTCCTGGAAAATAGACAGGTAATAAAATAGAAAAAAAAATCGATTAATCATTGAATACTGATACAAATCGATTGATTTATTTTTATTTATTATTTTTTTTTGTTGAATTAGTCAAAAGAAATTGATACGAGATTATTTTTTTAATCTATAGTAGTGACATTACAAAAACAAAGCTTATTGAGAGACTTTTCTCACATCAATTTATCGTTCGTTAAATATTTTTAACTACTGAAAATCGAAGACAGTCAACAGAAAACTTGACAGGTACGAACAAAAAAATATAAAAGGTCATTTTTGTTATCTACGGGCATTTTGTCACCATTTTTTCTATGTATTTACGTTCAGCAATTTTTCACACATAAGTCCTTATTTATATCAAACATAAATTATTCGATTCGAAGATAAAGTTGAGTTATTATGATGGACTTTGATGATTTTTTTTTTTCTACTAGAAATTAAAGTTATTTTAAAAGTCACCTGGCACCTACCAGTTAAACATATTGAACTACATATATTCATAGTATTAGAAGAAGAAAAAAAAAATCCGACTGTCTACGTGCAATCAAACATCAGTACACACACACACACACATATATATATATTACTGCGCGCGTCGTGCAAGAAAAAGAAAAATCTGAAAGGGAACAATTTTCTTTTTCTCTCTTCTCCTTCTCTTCTATAAACCTTATACTAAAGTAAATAGTCAAAAAGAAAAAAAAAGCTCTCTATTTATTGATAGACTCAATTTAATACTTATTCTCCTACTATCATCATCAACATCATCATCATCACTGGTAGTAAGAAAACGTTACCGAGAGAAGAAGAAAAGAAAAGAAAGGAAATAAAAATAAAGTTTCAATTTACTTTGGTCATTGTAACTGTACTACTACTACTTCTACTTCTTTCATCACATTTGTGTGCATCTATGTATATATATATATATGTCAAAAAAAGTTCTTTGGACATAAAACATTAGCAATAGAAAATACTTAACATTTTCAAAATAAAAACTAAAACGTTTTCTCTATACTGACTGTCTCATTATCTGTGCCAAAATGGAAGAAGAAAAAAAAAAATGAGATTTCTGTTCATTATCAAACGAAACAAAATAAAAAAAAAAAAAGAAAAAAAAACTATTTTAACAGAAAACATGCTTCCATTATGTAACGATAATACTCAGAAAAAAATTATTTATAGACATACATAGACATACGTACAACCTTGGCTTTGATAAAATTTGATATTTGAGGTTAAAAGAAGAAAAGAACGTTGATCAAATTTAAAAAAAAGAAAAGAAGAAAGAATGAATGAAGAGACGATAAACTTCATGTTGTTGTTCTATGTACAAGAAAGAATGAGAAGAAAAAAACAACAACGACAGTGACAAGTTACGCAGTTTAGAATCGAGCATAAAATTGCCCATATATACTGATAAAAAATTGATTATTATCAAATAGACTAAAAATTACAATTAAAATAATCATTGAAAACAACAAAAATATTTTTGTACACGAATCATTCTTCGTTTAATAAGAAAATATTTGAAATATCTTATTTTTAAGGCTAAGTATTTTGAAAATTTTTTTTTTTAATATCTATTCTCTATGTTTGATGTGATCGATATCAATGAAAAAAAATCTTTATTTTAAATTATTTATTTCTATATTATTGAATTTCATAGATTCTTGATTTCTATTATTAAATTATATTTTCAAAAAAAATAGAAATTTTTCTAGTAGTTGTACGTTGGTTTAATATTAAAAAAAACAACATTGTAAATTTAATTAAAAGCCTATTGAAAAATGCAACCTTACAACATACCTGCTCGAGGAAGAAATAAAAAAAAAGGAAAGTGGTATATAATGTTGTTTTTTTCTCCAACACCTTTTTTCTGGTCCTTTCTTGCAGCAAAATGAAAATAGAAAAAAACTTTATGTTCTTACTTTGGTATATTTGTCTTGATATATTGCTTGTACATTAATAATAGTAATAATAATAATAATAATAATAATAATAATAATCTTCAAAATGTCATTTTTTCAACTGATCGTTGGGTCTTCAGGTTTTTCTTTTAAAATAATATTAATATGATGAATAATCAGAGATACGAAAGTGATAACATTTTACACAGCTGTGCTGCTGATATATATGGCCACATTTTGAAATAGGAAAAAAAAAAAAAAGCACAAGACTTTTTTCTTTTTTTTTTAACTCTACCATTTCTATCTATCTATTGTATGAGTATGTATGTGAGTGTATATGTGTGAATCACATTTATTATTTTTTTTTTTTTGTGTGTGTGTCATAAAAGAGGTCAACATTCACATTGTACAACTTTTTTCTTATTCCTGAACATTCAATGATGAATAAGATTTAGTCAATTAAAATAAAACGATGCATAAGCATACAAAATCTAAATAAATTTAACAAATATCTAAACAAGAAAAATAGTCAACAATCAACAATCATAGTTAAATAATCTCCATTATTGTACTTGATTTAAAAACAATATAATTTTAAAAATATTTTATCTTTTCTCATTCTTTTTATTTATATGTTAAGTGTTATCAACGATATTTATTATCATTCTAGTACTTTTTTTTCTTTTAACTGAAAATGTTTCAGTAAGTATTTTTTATAAACTGTAGACGATTTATATATGTATGTGTATAGTTTTTGGACTTGTATGTAATACAATAATTCATGCCATACTCTCATATTACTACAACGAGTATTACTACTACTACCTACCACCATTATAATATGTACTATTGTTTGATAAAAATCACTTACCTCGACTATCAACATTATCGTCATATTGTGAATCACTTAAACCACCTAAATAAAAATAGTATAAATAGACAACTTTATTTTAGAATGTGTGTGACATTATAATTTTTAATGTGCATAGGATCAATAGTCGATAACTAAGGAAAGTTTGTGTAAAACAAATAAAATAAGGGATTCTTAGCAAAAAACTAACATGATTCTATCATAAAATAGTTCTTTTGATTTTCATTAAAACAAAAAATGTTTCTAAAATATGGATAGAATACGACCAAGATCAATGGCGCTACGTGAACTATTTTCAGCTCCCTTACATATCAACAATTGCCATTCTTTTATTAATCATGTACTCACAATTCAAACAAATGCTGATATAGTTAGAGGTGGAAAAAAAATCTGCATATTTCGTGTCATCAAAATCAGTTTTTCAAAAAAGAAAGTTACTCATTAGATGAAAGTTTTGGATTTAAACAAGGACAAAAATAAAATTTCATCTCTTCTCTTCATTTTTTTCTGATACCTCATAGAATTTCCAAAATATTCACTGTATTATGCATAATACAATCATACAGGGTGTATCAGAACATTTAGGACAATTGTTATAACGTGGTTATGAAGAATTCTGTAAAGAAATGTTTGCTCTACGTATTTGTCGGAAGAAAAAATGCTTAGAGTTAATTGTGACACAAATATGAGAAATCCAAAATACCATAATTTTACATGATAATTGGTCACCATTTATATAACAGTTTGTGTCTTTTCAACAGTTGATTTAAAAAACTTCGCTCTTTTACCCTTTACATTTTTTGTTCGGTACAAATTGATAGACTGAATACTTCTCTACAAAAATGAGATACTTCACAAGTCATTCTTAATAAACGCGTTACAATAATCTTCTCAAATGTTTCAAAAAACAGTCAAAAATAACCGATGTATGTATACATGCAGGTAATGAGATCCCATTCTGCCGTTATTTAATCTAATACTTTCATACGATAAAATTGCGTTTTAAAAAAAGCCGCAATAAAAATTTACTTTTGATTCAATCCAAAATCTTAATCTATGTTTAAAGCAATGGTTAGGGTAATAGCATAACATAAGGATAAAACTAATCATTTCAATTTTATCATTACATATAAACACGAACCTGACTTTGAAGTCATCTTTAGAATCTGGTTGTTTCCTTTAAACAAAATAAAGAAAAATTTTCAAGAAATAGAACTCGTTATCACAATTTCACATTCATTCAATAAAATTAGTAAACTTTTTAAATTTTAATGTAATAGCACTATAGTTATCATAAATCATGCTCTTTTTGTCGAAAATAAATCAAACAAGCCTTGACACATCATATATTTCAAACAAGCAGCTCTCATTACCTAATAATTCTCGTAACAGCGATTCTTTTTTACACGCTAAACAGAATAGTGTATATTGAGCTCAAAACCACTTTTTCATAAAGTTGTTTAGTTAAAAAAAAAAGACACATTCTCTTGTCCCTGTTCTAAACATATTGTAGATGTAAAATAGTCAAACATGATCAAAAAATAACTGATCTAATTTTAGGACTATATTCTTTATTTTAATAAAAAGTTTAACAAACCTTGTTCTTTTGTTTGACGTTGTTCAATTTCTTTTTTATATTTTTCAATTTCATTTTGATCCATATGAGCAAATGGATTTTGTGCATAATATGATTTATAAACAACAGCATTATTTTGTTGATCACGTTTAATTATACCTTTGGATGCAGCACCAACAACGATAACCGGTTCACTTGCTGTTTGTGGATCCTTAAATATAGACACATTCATAAAATAAACACATCAAAATATCACAATTTTATTAAACAAGTGGGAAAAGGAAAGATATTTAACAGACATAAGCAGTTGGTTGAGAAATGCGTGTAGAAAGAAGAAGGAAGTAGATAAAAAAATAATTTCTTTTTTTTTTTCTTAAAGCGTTTAAAATAATCCTTGTTTCTAATGTTAAACCTTTTTTTAATTAAAGCAAAATTATTCAAATAGATCTGGCTTCCCTGGTGATTATTACATCGTATAGATTACGAACAAAACAACATGTGTTGATTTTACTAAAGCAAAGCACATTATTCGTGTTTTTATGCGTGATGTATTATTGTTGTGTAAGTAAATTTTCTCTATGTATCTGTGTGACTACCTCCAACTTTTTTCTAGCGTCGGACAAAGTCATATTATCTAGTATACGACTTTGTGGACCAGCATTGATTATATCTGTTAAATATCGGTTTCTTATCTGTAAACAAATAAACAAAAAAAAAGATAAGTGAAATTTATAAAATATAGATACCTTCATTTGTGAAACATCATCCCAGCCGACATTGTCAAGTATTTTTGATTGATAACCAGCAGATATTTTTTCATTAAAACGATCTTCTTTTATCTGGAATGGTCATATAGGCAATGTCGATTTATATATGGATAAAACATCAAAATTTTTAGAAAAATATTTAAATTTTTTCATTTTGAAAATAATTGATCAAAAGAAACGTCAAACTCAAATTTCTAAAAGTCAATTTCAGATAAAACTAACTTCATGCGCATCTGTATATTTTTGTTTAAAGAAAACCTTTTAAAAGAAATTGGCAAACAATTTTTTGCGTTTATCTAATGAAGAGTAAAAATGAAAATACGTTTCATCAAATATAGCAATTATTTGACAACTAGAAAACGATCATACGGATTAATGAATTGTTTTTTTCCCAAATCAACGAATTTTTTATAATATACCTGTTTTTGATGATTTTTTAATTCCTTTGGATCAATATTACTTGGTGCAAACTGATGTTTTGTTTCCAATTTGATAGGTGTACTATGTTTCAATCCGGTATCTGGTACCCACTAAAACCAATGTACAAATGAAATTAAGTAATTTATCAAGTTATAATCGCAAAAAATATATTTTCTTACTTTTGTTACTTTTTTCGGATTTGGAGTACCCGTTTCTTCGATTTCTTGTCTCAAATAGGCATTAGGTGAATTTCTCCATTCAGTATTTCGTTGCGCTTGACGAGTAGGAGAACTAAAAATTAATATTAATTATAAAAAAAGAATTCTTTATTGTAGATTCCCTTGCATATTGTAAAACATACTATGCTTCTCCATCAAGAACAGAGGCAGAAGATGCAGCTGGTGGTACTTCAACATCTTTAAATCCTGTTTTATCGATTGTTCGAATCATTGGTTGACGATAAACATAACCAGTGCGAAAACCCTACAAAAACAAAACTCATAAAAAGAATTACGTATAGTTGATTAATCTATTGTACTTACAGCATTATCAAGAATTCTCATTAAACATTCAAACTCAAGTTCTCCAACTTTCCACTTTTTATCAATAGATGTGTCATTATTTCCTTGTAAAGCATCAGCAACCTGAAAGGAATAATATAGAATAAAAGATAAATTAACAAAAACAAGACAAAATCTATTACTCGTTTTTGAGCTTCTGGCGGTGGTATATACAAATTATCAATACCAACAGACGTGGCACGAACTTGTACTTCACATGCATTTATAACATTGAAAGCATAACGCCACGCTTCTTCGAGTGTTTCACCACAAGCAACAAAGCCATGATTTCTTAGTATCATCACCTAGAGAAACAACAATTGATAGATATGTCAAATTAAATACGAAGTATTAAACCTTATTAATTGGTCCCAAATCTTCCACAAGTAATTTTTTAACATCATCTTCTACAAGTATTCCACGATAATCGTGATATGATATTTTTCCACAAAACAATGCTTCTTGACTAATTGGCAATAGGCCACATTTCATGGCTGATACAGCGGCAACAGATGGTGTATGCAAATGAATGATACATTTTATATCTGGACGAGCTTTATGTATTGCTGAATGTAATGTATAACCAGCACGATTAATTCCATATGTTGTATTACCCGGATCAATTATATTTCCTTAAAGAAAGATTATTTTCATTACAATTCATAGATATATTTACTGAGTTTTTACCTTGAATATCAACTTTAACTAAACTAGCTCCAGTTACTTCATGATACATCAAACCAAACGGATTAATAAGAAAATGTTCTTGTTCTTGATTGATACGAGCCTAAAGAGATTAAAAAGATAATTATTTAATAAAATCAATGTTAATAAATATAAGTAGTCAAATATGTACCGATATATGGTTGTAGATTCCTTGAGACCACCCATAAAGATCGACCAAACGATATCTAAAATACAAAAGAAATAACATGAAAACCCAAATTGTATAAATCTTTATATTCAACTTTTAAAAAATATTTTTTTTTATGGCTTTTAATGAAATCATTGAAAAAGATATCTAACTCATACTTACAATGACGCTAATTTACATCTTAATAAACGTTCACTTTTAGAATAACCACCAGAATCGATACCACGAATATCATTAATGGGAATAATCACATTGGAGCCAGCTGAACAAAAAAAAGACAAGCAATTATTAATTTTTAAAAAATAGTTTAAAAACAATGGTACAATCTGTTGACTAAGATAGAAAAAGAGATTTTTAAGGCTTTGTGTGTAAACCAAACGAGATATTGGATAACTATATAAAGCGAACATGACACTTTTAGTCATATTAATCATAGCATCCAGCCTAAAATCTAGATATAGATTTATTAACCCCTAAACCATTTCGTTTCAAAGATCCTTAACGATGGTCATCCAACATGGTCTAAAATGTCTACCACTGTCAGACCTTTTTCATTCTATCTTTCGATGAGATAAACTGTAGAACTAAACTATTCATTCCTATAGTTAATTTATGGGTAAACAACGAATACCCATATTATCAGACGCATAATCGTACTCTTGTACTCTAAGCAACTATCCTCTACCAGGAATTAGATTTCTACACACACATCGGTAGTATCCAAGTATTGCTGTTTCATTTAGAGTCTATTACTGTAAACTATATTTGTACCTCTACTTAGCGACGATACTGTTGTCCATCTAGATGTATGCGGTAAAATGAGTTCGGATATTTGTTGTAGTGCAATCAATGATGCTGGATGCGGTCCATGTTTCAATTGATCAGTTATTATTGATTCTAATTCATCACGAAACTCTTTTGAATTTAATATCATTGTCACACGTTGACGTTGTCCCATTTGTCTCATATCTTCTTTAACATCGGGTGGACGTTCTAAATCACGACGATGTACAGGATCATCGGGATCTAAAATGATACAAAATCAAATTTATCTCAAAATATAATAGAAATATGAAGGAACTTAATGAACTAACCGAATGTATCGTCTCCATATCGTGCTGTATCATCAATATAAGATGCTGTTTTTGGACTACCTGGTTCAACTGCCACCGAGCCATTCATCACGGTTGGCATTTTATCACGTTAATCTTTTTTTATCGAAAAAATCTAGAATACACATTAATTTATATTTTTATTTCTCTTTACACAATTATACGCAAGTATTACAGAAATAAAAACAAAATAAAATACAATAATTATTTTAAATAACATATGGCAAGTTTTTATTTGAAAACTAATATAAAAATAGCGCAGATTATCCTGCTCTAATAAAAAAACATGATAACTGCCTATTATTTTTATGAGCAGGTACAGCTTCAATTAAAATTCACACGAAAGAAAAATAGAACCAGTAAATATCACCGGTGAATAGAATGAAATAAAACGTACTAAAAGAAAAACTGGCTTTTATAAGAACAGAAACCATAGAATGAATTTAGTTGATTCTATCAACAAAACGAATTAATGGCTCTCTATAAACATAACCGGTACGAAATCCCTATAATAAATAATAAATAAACACAACATTAGTAATTTATTGAGGATAAAAGTCTCTGCAGAGTAGTGGCAAAACAGCAATCATAATTTGGTTTATTTGTAAAAAGGCGAGTGTGTACAGAAAGTTTTAGAAAATCACTCATTGAGCTTGATGTTGAGTAACACTTATACTGTTGCATAAAAGATCACAAATTAGTGCATACGAACGTATGTTCTTGGCCAAAGAAATAAAAGAATAATAAAAAAAGAAATTTGCTATTTACCGCTTTATCTAGAACTGTCATTAATGTTGCCCATTCTAATTCGCCAAGAGCCCATTTTTTCTCTGAAACATTAGCATTATTTACAACCTAGGTAAATAAGCAAAAAGAAATGTCATCAATATCGTATGTAACAAATGCCTGAGCATTACTTGTTTATGTATATCTTCGTGTGGTATATACAAATTATCAATTCCAACTGATGTGGCACGAATTTGTGCTTCACAAGCTAGTATAACATTAAATGCATAATGCCACGATTCCTCAACTGTAGCCCCACATGCCAAAATACCGTGATTGCGTAAGATTATTACCTATTAACAAAGAGAAGAGTCACCATTTAGTTACTCGATATAGTTTTCTTTCGTTTCTTACTTTTGCATCTGATGCTGAATCCAAATTATCGACATAAAGTTTATTTTCATTTGTATCATCAATATGAACTTCATGTGATGTTATTGCACCACAAATTATATATTCTTGACTTATCGGCAAGAGGCCACATTTCATTGCACTAACAGCGACAACTGAAGCCGTGTTCAGATGAATAATACAAGTCAAATCTGGACGTTTATTATGGATAAATGAATAGAGTGTAAAACCCGTTCTATTAATTCTAAATGTCGTATTGCCAGCATCAATAATATTACCTAAACATAGAATAATAATAGACATAAACTATTTCGTTTCACTATTTCAGTAAATATCTGCAGGAATCATCACAAATGGAAAGTTAATGTTACCAAAGCTCTATAAAATTTTTCTCATATGATTACTGGCGTAAAATTTTTCTCAAGTAAATGATTTGTGAGATAAAAGGATTGGCATCTGAAGCTTGATAGACGATTTCAAACTGATTACTCAAAAAAATCTTACTCTTCACAAACCATGAAGGTAACAAAAGTTTTAAACCATTTTTGTTGTTCTTAAGATCCACTGATTGATCATATGATGAAAATTCCATCAAACTTTGATGATATTACTTTTCATTTGTATTGATCGTTTAACGATCAATACAAATCTTTGTAATACAAAGATTTGTCTCTTTACCTCTTATATAAGGTTTGTAATATATCAGAAAAGACTTCAATTCAAGAAAAAAGTTTGTTCTTCAGTTTCAAGATGAACAGTGTATATCATGTTCCAGTTTAATACAAAATTCCTTTCGTTTATTTGTGTGATCGAAAAGAGATATATCAATAGTAAGATCTCAAATATATATCACGTAAGAAAGTCTAAATCAGAATATAAACTAATTTTTTACCTTCGCTATCGACTTTCACTAAACTGGCACCAGATACTTCATGATACATTAATCCCATTGGTTTAATTAAGAATTCTTCACGTTCTCGACTGATGCGAAGCTAATATGTATATATTTGTAAAATGAGATGTAATTAATCGAAAATAAGTAATTAAACTTCAAAACATACAGATATATGATTGTATATTCCTTGAGACCACCCATATAAATCAATGACACGATGCAACGACGCCAATTTCAATCTCAAATATTTTTCTGCTTTCACATAGTTGACAGAATCAATACCACGGATATCATTGATTGGTATAACACGATCTAAAACTATAATAGTTGATACCTCATCGCTTTTACTCAAAAATGAATATTACCTTTACACGGTGTCATATCAAGTTTAGTTAGAGGCAGAAGTAACCGAGATAACTCTTCTAATGATGGTATTTCTTTGTCCGTTATAATCCGATTAAGTTCATCATAAAACTCCGTAGAATTGAATAACATTGTGCGTACAGTATCATTTCGTTGATGCGAATCTAAACAACAAAATTATATAAAAGTAGATAATAGGGAAACTTATGATCACATGACGTACGTATTTCGGTTTGTTCATTCACGAGAATATCGTTTGAGTCAGGCATTACTGGGATAATAAGCAAAAATATATAAATCTGGAAAAATAAGGAAAATAAAATGATAGTGAAGAGTTCTATAGTTTTTATGCGAATATGAATAGAAAAAAGGAAAATGGAAGAAAATTTTATTTTAAAACTTTTGTCGCATAAATTATACGAATAAATAAAGCATCGCTGTCACGCTGCGTTCCTCTATGAATTCAAGAAAACCATAACAAGTTAGAAGCTACTCTAAAATACCAAAAATTATCGGTCATAACGACTATTATTTTCATCGAACACAAACTTAATGACGTCAGTAGAGTTCTGTTAAGAAAACAAACATGAAAAATTTGATTTAACAAGAAATTTAGTAAATAAATAAGAGTCGTAAAAATACTTACTATCGTAAAAAGAACAAAAATGCAATATAAATAACTGATCAGAGACTTCAAACATTTATTTCTCACCGGTATATGTTACATTTGTTTATCTAAAATTTAATTCTAATTTAAATTGTTCCACTAATTTATGTGTTTCAATCATTAATGGATGTTGTTTTCCAAATGCTATCTCAATATGTTGACACGTTTCATCTATTAAATTTAACATGGACTGAATTTCTTTAATATCATTGAATAGAAATAATTTTAATTTCATATGTTTTAAAATATTCAATGAAGCATAGGAATGATATTTTGGTAATAGATTTTTATACAATTTCAATAAGTATTCACTATAAACCAAAGCCTTATCAAAAAGTTCATCTTCTATATATTTATCCATTGAATATTCATACAATTGTACCATTGTTATCGATTGACGATGAAATAATTTTTCAAATTCTTCAATATTTTTCTCTTTATTATTTAAATATTTTTCAACAATTGGATACAAGTTTGTTTCTGTAATATGTTGTTGTAATTTTTTGTTTAAACATTTTAAATGTTGTTTATCGATGAAATAAGCTGATGAAGAACACATTGAACAATGTAATAGTATATCTTTATCATTAATAATACTATTGTCATTACTAGTACCACATCGTTTACATTGACACATAAAATAATAATTTTTCATTAATTCTGTTTGTCGTTTACAACGATCTTGTAATAAATCACAATAATTAATTGTATATTCTTCTTTGTTTTCTTTGATATTTTCTATTGTACGTATTTGCAAACGAAAACCATTAAATATTTGTTGACAATTTGGATAACATGAATGATTATAAACGGTCGCACTCAAATAGAAACCACAACCAATTGGTTTTAAATCAATTGAATCTGTTATCGTAAATGTATTAATTAATAAACGACAATATAGTAGATACAAATCATTTATTGAACGATTATAATTTGTTTTAAAATAAAATTCATCATCGTTTGATTCAATGTTCGATTGTAATGGTTCCTGTGATAATAGTGGCAATGATGAGGGTAAATCATGAGTAGATAAACATAATTTTAATTGTTCAATTAATAAATAAAATTGTTTTAAACGTTGTTGATCATTTTGAATATCGTTCATATGAGTCATACAATCATAAAATTGACGTAATTTTAATTCATCATAGAAATTATCTTTGAATGTTGTACGTAAAAATAAACGAAGATAAAGACGAAATAAATCGAAATCAAGATGACAAATAAAACCACATTCATAACGATGATTAAACCAATCTGAACGTTGACAATTTTTATCACAATAGTAAACAAGACGACATTTTAAACAACGTTTTAATTGTACTGATGATAATAAACAATAGGAACATAGTTTTGATTCACAAGACCATTTTAAAACATGAACATACGGAGTTAATGATGATATTAAGACAGTGCCACTTGGAATTAGAGATTCATCCATATATATCTTTGATTAATATCTAGAAAACAAATGGAAATAGTTAGTCACATGTTTCTACGTCAAAAAACTAATTAAAATTGGATACGATAACTATATCAGAGAGTCGATAATCTTCTACCAGTCAGAATCTTTCGTAGGTTTTCCTAATTCCAAAATGTTAAGCTTTTTTTTCGTCTACTCTATTATTTAGAAAACTTCCAGCATGCAGATCAGTGAAGAAACATATGGACTCATACGATATATCTTCTTCATTTTTCAATGAAAAAATAAACATTAAAACTTCTTTAGTTATTGTGTCGTAAACAGACTTTCAAGACGCTTATCGTCAAAAAAGCTTATCTATATTTAGATGGAAAATTTGCTTTTCAAATAAATCTTTTTTGTGAAGTATGTCGATAACAGGTGTCAGCATATTTCAAAATAAAATTTGTTACTCTAAGGCTTTGTTCCGAAAAATATCATTGTGGAAGCATTTCATGGATATTTGTTGGTTTATTTTTTCCTCTACTCTCTTTTTCGCTTAAACAGAATGTGTGAATAAGCCTCAAAACCAAAAAAAAGAAAAAAAGAATAAAGCAAACAAAACGAATAATTGATGAAAAACTATAATAGTTTATATGCCGGAAGCATTGTCGAAGAGAGAAAAGCGTAAAACACATGAATATAAAAAACCGATGACGGTTCTCTCATGGGAAATTGAATGTAGCTAATTCGCTTGACTAAAAATAGGATCGACTTGACTTCTTAGAATTATTTGCTATATTCGAAGATATTTCTAATAAAAGAAAGTTGTTGTTTAATAGAACACAGCTACACGTAATATCCAACATGTTTCACGCACAAACTAAAATGATTACTTTATTGTCACACATATGAAAAAAATACGACTTTTATCTATCTCATACAGATGTTTGATAACTCAACCAGAATTTATTGATAATATCTCTAAAACGTAAGCGATTTTTCTCTTAATTTTAGATCAATAATTGAAAGAAAAATATTTTTTTATAAACAAATATCAAGTTTTTCCCGAAAGACGACAGTAGATAAAAATATAAAAGACTATCAGTTTTCTCTATTCTCACCCTACAACCTGAAGGCAAAAATAATCATTAGTATTATTATTACTATTATTGTTCAATTCTATAATATTTTCTTCGAACAATTATAAATAAAAATACTCGCACGAGTACTAGAGATAAAAAAAAAAGAAGAAAAATAACGTAAAAAAAAAATTCTTATTGAATATAGGATATAAATTGGTAATATAATCAGTCAAGGCGAGGTCATAAAGAAGAAGAGAAATACTAAAATATTGCATACAACTGTATCTTCTCTGTTCTTCACCGCAAAAAGAAAAACGAAAGAAACAGAACAAAACATATCACATCAGGCAGTCTACATGTCTGAGTCTAATGTTCTTCTTTGTTCTCTTTTCTGAGATTTTTCCGTCTACTTTAAGAAAATATTTACTGTGTGTTTCCGACAAGAAAAAAAAATAAAAAATGAAGAGCAAAAAAAAAAGAAAGAAAGAAAGAAAAAGAAGATATTCATTTTATAGGCATACATTTATTTGGTTGTAGTTTTCTTTTACAAACAAACAATAAACTAATTCATTAGTAATTCGATCAATCGGTCAACGAAAACGATTGTATATTAATCGATCTTCTTTTACATGGATAAATAGTTTAATTAGTGTTTTCGATAGAGGTAGAAAAACAATATATTTCGGAATACAGAGAAAAATAGAAGAACATATTTATAATCGAATTCAAATTCTAGATATGACATGATATTTTACAATAGATATCAATTTAAACAATAATATACTTGTGATTTGTATGATTTAATTTGAACAACTAACTCATATGATCATTACTTCTTTTTTTTGTTTTGTTTGAGCATAGTAACTCTATCTACGTATAATAAATTCAAGAGTAATTCTATTCTCATTTAGGACTAAAAAAGTTCATCAACTATGTGTATGTTGTTGTATAATGTATTTTAAGCTTTCAATATACACATATACACAAAAACACAAAGTAAAGAAAGTTCGTTGTCCACGGTCATTTGTTCATCATAAAATAGATATAAATCATATCAGCTAGTGTAATGAACAGAATGGAAAGAATGTATGGTGGTGGTAAAAATACGGAATATAATAAGGAAGGTTTTTCTCCTTTAACAAATATATACGAAGAGAAACGAAACAACTAATACTTAGTCGAGTATACTGTTCAAAAACAAGAGAATATGACAGCTGTGATGTGATTTGCACCACATGGCGATAAAGAAATAAGATCACTCAATCAAACTGTTATTCTCGCTACTAAAAATATTTGATCTTGTCATGGCTATTCACTATAAAAAAAAAAATGTTAATTATCTGATATACAGATTATGATTAAATGTATAGTCTTAATTTATTTTTCGTTTATATAATCAGATAAACGAACAAATATAACGAAAATAAAGAATTAATAGATAGAAACTAATTTTGATATATATCAAATATGATGATGATGATAAAGAATAATCTCACCCATAAAGTTGATTGTGCAATATATACAAATTAAGAAATGAGTTATCAGCAAATGAAGACATTTTTATCAATAACATTGATGAGTACGACATTCTATTTCAACATAAGTACTAGTATCTCATATTTCATTTTCACGTATTGAACGATGATGAAAATTTATATGCATAAAAATACATTTATCTATTTCTCTAAGAAAAAAAAGCTTAACAAACAATATTTTGAAAAAATATCGATTTTATTAATGGATAAAAGTAATTAACGACATATTTAAACATTTTTAGAAAGATAATAAGAAATGGTCTTTACCTCTAACTGAAAATATTGATCAGATTAGTTGTTCAATCGGCCACAATATAAAAATAAAAGAATGTCTTATACTATGATAGAAACCAAACTATATTTTTTCTAAAAAGTTGTGTTTATCTTTTTATGCTACTATCTTATCGAATTCATATGAACAACTCTACTCTCCAAAAGACAAAACAAACATCTGAATATGTATCTTCTTTCTTTTGCAACCATCATTATTATATTCAATACACCATTAATGAATGAGAATTTTTTTTCTCAGATCGTATAAACATTCGATAATACGATATAAGTAGATGTGTAGAGATATATTACACTCGTGAATGAAAAAAAAAAAAAACGAAATTCCATAGGGATTTATTTCGTTCTAACCGCGAAAAAAACTACTGGCCGTTATAATATTCAAATATGAATGAATCAGACAAGCACCACAATACCTATAAACAAATCTAAGATGAATACAACTCATAAAAGAATCAAATAATTTTGATCTAACAAAATATTAATATACGTCGTAACAGATAGAAATACTATCAATTACATCGTTCGATGATCTCTACTAAGAGTAAAATATTCCTCTTTTTCTTTCTCTCTATTGACAAGGAAGAGCAAAATATTAGATGTCGAAACAAGCAGAAATCAATAACTCTTTTGAGATTTATAATAGTTTTAATCTTTTGGAACTTCTATAACGCCAAACTATTTAATAAGATGAATAACATGTCGAAAAAGTGAGCAAGAGAATAAGGAAGTACATGTTGCTATTACTATAATATGCTAAGCGCGTCAAAGAATCAAAAAGTATTTTCGATCTTATAATCCATAAAACATGGAATACAATATATCATTCCACTCATCTTAGTTCAAAATAAACACTTGATATAAGCAAAACTAAGAAAAGCTCCTTATTCTTGATTATAACAGATAAATAGAACACAAGGTAACAAATTGATTAAAAAAATAAAAATAGATTCATTTTTTAAGCATTTTTTTAAGTACAACAAACACTTTTATTATTGTGTTCACAATGAACATAAAATATTCTTTGGTAAAGAAAAAGAATGTAAAAAGCGAATAAAATATGCACTGCACATCATATAGAACTATGCTAATCGTTGTGTTCTGATTAATGATGTGTAGTAAAAACCAAATGAAGAAAGAAAGAAAGAAAGAAAGAGTAAAATTATATTTGTTATTGTCTATGCCAGATCAACTTGAATATCTTGCTTGAATTATTCGCGCTAAAAAAAATAAAACTACAATCGTAGAACTAATAACTTATTTATTTCTAACGCAAAAAAATAGTAGTCTCCATAATTAGAACAAACTAGTTCTTCTTTCTTATCTGTGCAGAAATTGACAGTCACGTTGTAAACTACGTGTCACACACAATTCAAGAAATAAAATTTTAAAAAAAATACTAGAACAAGTTTTATATTACGAAATGAAAAATAAACTAACTTTTTGTGATTACATCAGGACACGTAGAATGACATATTTTCAAACTATGAAGAATAAAGATGAATAGTACTTCTTAGAATGGAAAACTCTTTTACGTATCTTAAATTACTGAAGTGTGATGAAGCTCAGTTCTATAACAACCATAGACAACTGAGCAGCATATAAAAGACGAAGGCTGAAACAAGTTGGCTGAAAGGCTGAAACGAGTTTAGCAGTATATCTAACAGAATTTATCCGCTGAGCTACGAATACGCTCTGCTTTTCCTACCAAAGTGTACACGTTTCAAATCTAAAACAGAAAGCATCAATTAGGCATCAGGAATCAGAAGAGAAAAATAGAAACATTCTTTATACAGGTTTTTTTCCTAGAAAGATAGTTTGCAGACACAGACAATAACAAATAGAGCAAAACATCACTGATCTTGTATAACAAGAAAAAGTCTCGTTTCCTATCTAACTACTCACTTAACGACAGTTAAAAAGGGTTTTCTTATTTTCTCTTAAATATAAATAGGTTCTATTAGAAAGCCAAACGTAAATAGCGATAGCAAAGCATACACTGTACGCTCTGTTCTTCTCAGCACAGCGTATTTTGAAATTCCGAAGCGTATGTACGCTTTAATACAGACTATTAAAACTAAGACTGTACTACAGTAAGTACGTTTTAGAAACACTGCGAACTTAGTAT